GTGACAGTGCCAGCAGGGAGAAGCACATCTCAGTTGGCTTAAGAAACTTCCGAATTGTTATGGCTTTGGCTATAGCTAACATGGCTATTCATCGGCCATGCCAATACAGCTGGCTGAGCTTGAACTGGACTCCTGCAGGTGGACCGCTGGCTGGACTGCGTCTCTGTGCTGAGCAACACGTACCTTGGCCTGCGATTTATCCTCAGCGAGATACTCCAGCGGGCTGAGGGGGCAGTTGGACTGCACCCTGTCGATGCTGCTGGGGGAGGAGATGTGGGCGCCGAGCGCCAGGGTGTAGGGCACAGCGCCCCCCGGGACGCCTGGCGCCTCGGCCGTCACGCTCTCGCCGCCTGGGAGCGCAGAACAGAGGGGGTTAGTCACACACCGCAGCGCCTTCATAGGGACTCATCCAGCTGGGTCCCAACCACTGCGGGGGACCCAGAGTCGATCCCAGCTTCTACGGGCGCAAGACAGGGTACACCCTGGAGGGGACGCCAGTCCAGCGCAGGACACTCACACCAGGGCCAATTTTTCCCAATTAACCTCCCAGCATGTCTTTGGACTGTGACAGGAAACCAGGGCACCCGGAGGAAACCCACATGAACATGGGGAGAACATGCAAACTCCCCACAGACAGAACCCCAGGAATTGAACCCAGTGCCCCCCCAACGCTATAAATACATACAATATAAATACAGCAGACTTGCAACTTACTCGGTCGACACCAGAAAATAGAAAATATTGGAAAAATGCTTTATTCTCTGAAAAACTCTTCAATTTAGTGAGGCCTATACAGTTGTCTTATTTACGGTACTTTTACTTATATTTAATATATTTTATTACGGTAAGAGGTTAGTGGGGGGGTTATAAGTGCAAAATTTGGCTTTTCTCCAAATCCCTAATCCCTGTGTAAATTGGGAGTCGACTGAATTTAAACAGAAGTGTAAAAAATGCCTCCACTGCTGAGACATGACCTCTGCCCTTCCGCTGTCCGGGGGGAGTTTCACCTGCGGGGGTGTAGCGGGGGTTGAGCACCCCGGGCAGACAGAAGCGCAGAGCCCCGTCCTCCTGCAGGGGCAGCTCCGTGACGTAGGACAGGCTGACGGAGGCGCTCTGGCCCGGGGGCAGGCTGCCCACGCTGAGCCGGAAGACGTCGGGGCTCTCGTCGCTCTCCTCCAGGAGGAAGGCCTGCTGCCCGGAGCTCACGGCATCGTCGTACTCCTCTCGGGCCTGAAACACACCGGGGGGGGGCGATCACACACAAACACGCGTCCAGTCTCGCACAGAAGACAAGCATGCACAACCCTAGAAGCTCTCGAAAAAGTGAAGCCTTTGAGCTCAGCAATGAAAGAAGGGCCTGAAGACACGGGAGAAAGCGGCAAGGAAGTGCTTTTCCCAACAGAACGGGAGGCTGCTCTTTACACAAAGGGTAGCGGGGGTCAGGAACAGGCTGTCAATCCATTAATTGAAGGCAAATTCCAGGGATTCTCCAAGAAACAGCCGTGATCCTAAGATCACTGAGCTATCAGCAAAAAAATTAAAATGTTCCCATTTTTTAGGCCATCCACAGCTCTTACAAATCGATGGAGCGGGTCAAAACCGGTTCGACCACTTTCGGCTCCCCTCTATACACAAAAGCCACACAGTAAAGCCTCAGTCTTCATGGGGACTGACTGAGGTCTTTAAACACTCCTTGAAACAACAGCCAGGCCCTCTCCAGGAATCCGAGGGCTGTAGTTCAAGTGGATTGCGTGTTTCTCCCTCAGGTGAGCACATCAATAGCAGGTGGAGCAGCACAGGGGCCAAAGTCGGCAGGACGTGGGAGCGACGACAGACTTCACATTTTTCATCTTTGTACAGCTAGAGCTGAAACTAGAGCTTTTGTTCTCCAGATGCTGGGGATCTGACATGAGATCAGTTTGAGCCGAGTTGCGCAATTCAATTCCCACCTCCAGGACGGTCTGGAATCAAAGTGGGGTTTGGGAGGTAGGGTCAAATGCGAGAGTGAAACAATGCAGTGAGTGGCTCAATAAAATAGGTTGAAAACTTTTTTTTAAATGTTACGCATTTATATTGAGGACATATTTCTGCATTTTTTATGCAACGTGGGCTTCAAGGTAAAACATTTTTTTGTGACGGAGTGACATCAACAAGCAGTCATTATTACCTTATTAAGACATGCTGAGTGTCTGAGCTGACGCAGTTTAATTCAATAAATCTTATTAAAGTCAATTATACCAATATAACATAAAAAAACTTATCTACACGTACAACCTATTGATTCTCAGTGATCAGTTAGTCTTGGCGTCACTTGGACTCTTTAAGACAGGATGAGATTTTAAAGAATTTTAATACACATGCAAGACTACAATCATTTGTGTTGTGATGATTAATACGTTGTGATTAAAAGCCTGACATTTCTCTTCCGATCAAAATCGGCCGTTCATTGAGCTCGAACTCGGAACAGTTTTCCAGTTTTAAAGGCTTTTTGCACGCCAATATAACAGCATATATATATATATCAAATACTGTTACAATATATATTACTGCAATAACAGTAAAAGGTACACAGTAACTTGTAAAACCTCCAATTTACATCACAAAATAGATTAAATTTACAGATCTGCGCAGCACCATGTCCTGCTATTGAGAACAAAGCAACAAGACTTCTGGTGAGGAGAAGCGGCTCAAGTACACTGTAAACAAGCAGGCTTGTGAATCCAGCTCTTTTAATCCAGGAGAAATATTGTTAAAGACTTCTAGATGGTTTTTACTTACAAATACTACTTCTTAACTCTGTTAACTCTGCGTGCAGATCACGCTGGAACATTTCTGCGGTGAAATGTCTGCTGCACAACCTGTACTTATTCACTTGTCCATCACACTAGTTAGTACAGTAACTAGTGAGCAGGAAGGGCTTCTTCACATCACAGTTCTCACAAGCTCTCGCTCTCACCCGTGGAGAGACCAGGGATTTGCAACAACGTGGCGACTTTACAGTACTTTCAAAGTTCACCATTTCGTGCGTCAGTCGAAATGTGTCCATTTTTTTACACTGTCAAAAAATGTATTTTGTTACCGAGATTTAATAACCGGTCGGAGAAATGGGGACTGCAGTTTGACTGTAAGACACATCGCCTGTTCATTATCATCTTTCCATTTTATATCTGAAACAAGGAGGTTACGGCAA